CCACTCGGAGGAGGACTCTGAGGGGGCAGAGGAGGAAGTTGACGAACTTCGGCCAGTGCCTTTCCCAGGTGGCGGCCCGGACGCCCGCTACGCGTGGTGTGAGTACTGCGGGGTGCAGGGCGAGGGCCAGGACATGGGCTGCCCGATGCGCAACCGGACCTACCCCATTTCGATGGCGAAAAACCGGTCGCGGGCAGCACAGAGGGCAGCCAAGGCAGGGAGCACGGCTGCGGCCGCGGCCCAGGCGGGTCGGACGCGGGCGCGTGCGCGGCCCCCCGACCGAAGCCCAGAGGAGCGCCGAGAGGAGGAGGAGGAGAGGGCGCCTCTACGGGCGGTGGCGCGGACCGCCCGCGGCACCCCGGAGGGCCAACCGGACGGGCGTCCTCGCACGCCGCGCCGCGTGGCCCACCGGCACGGGGGCACGGGGGAGGAGAGGAACGCGAGCGTGAGGAGGTAGCGATGCGTGAGGCACAGGAGGCTAGGCCGCCCGAGGACATCAACCCGGAGGCGGTGAGCTGGTACCTGGCGGCGGCAGCGGGCAGCAGCCAGGGCAGTGAAGGGCTAGAGCGGCAGCTCAGGCGGATCGCCAGGGAGGGCTCCAGGCGTGCCGGCGGGCGTGCCGATGCTGGTTATGCACCAGAGCTCCAGAGGTTGGTAGACGCAGCCGTGGTGGCTTCGGTGGCAAAGGGGACGAAGGCGACCTATGGCGTCGCTTGGAGGCAGTGGACGACGTTCTGCCGGATCCGCAGGAGGTCGCCCATCCTGCATGGCGAGACTCGCGAAGAGCGTCACCAAGACGAGGAGGAGCTGCTGCTGTTCATGGTGCACCTGTACAACAGCCTGAAACGGTCGCACGGTACGATACGGTCAAAGTTGCTGGGGATCCGTTCACACCACGTGATGCTGGGTGAGCCCGACCCCTTGGCGGGTAAGCCGCGGCTGTGGATGGCCTTGAATGGGATCGAGAACTGGCAAGGGCCCGGAAAGAGGAAGCTCCCAATTACGATCAAGATACTGAGAAGGATCCGAGACATGCTGAAGCCGGACGCCTGTGCGGACGACGCGGCCTTGTACTTCTGCGTGATCTTCGCTTTCTTTTTCATGATGCGGATTGGGGAGTACGCCCACTCGGGGCACTGGGATTTGAAGAAGGTCTTGACCGGGTTGGACATTGCCCCGAAGTGCAAGGGCGAGCAGGTGAGCCACTTCGCCGCGGCGGACGAGGTGGTGCTGTGGTTTAAGGCGTCGAAAGCCGACCAGAAGGGAGCAGGGCAGGCGAGGAACCACTGCCGCTCGAACGACCCGTTCGGCATCTGCCCAGTGTGGGCGGCGGAGTGCTACAACCGCTGGCTCCCGAGCCGTATCGCGGGCAAAGAGGCACACTTACCGCTTGCGAGGTGGGAAAACGGCAGCCCGATCACGCGGGAGCGTATCCAGGGCTTGCTTCAGAAGGCGGCGGCGCTGGAAGGCTACCCACCCGACAGGTTCAAGAGCCATTCGCTCCGAATTGGCGGAGCGACGGCCCTGTACCACTGTTTCCAGGACACGGAGCTGGTCAAGCGTTGGGGGCGGTGGAGTAGCGGAGCCTTTCACCAGTATTTGTGGGAGGCGAACGAGGACGCCGCTGGGGTGTCGGAGGCGATGGCGAAGTCTGTTGCGACCCTGCACGTGGGGTACAAGGTTGAGGTGGCTGGAGACGGATCGGCCGCTGATGTGAAGGAAAAGTCAGTGGCCTGAGTTCAGTAGCAGGAGTTTGAGTTTTGAGCCGAGGCGTGTCACCACTGGAGGGGCCGATGTTGGATTGTGCGCAGTCCTGGGGCAGCGGCCTGGGGGCAGTGGTGACCCCCAGGATCGGCGGAGGTGAGGAGAGGAACCCCGGGGCGTCCCGCCAGTGCGGTCCCCGGGAGTGTTGGAGGAGGAGGAGAGTGGAGGGACGGGGCGTCCCGCCAGTGCGGTCCCCGAGGATGGAGGAGTGTGAGGAGTGAAGTTGGCCATGCGCTGGGCAGCAGAGGCGCCCAGCTGCGAGCCCCATTCGGCACCTCCCGCAAGTCACGGGCGCCGAGGGGTAAGTAGCTGGGTGGCCGTGGGGCCGCCAGCTGGCGGCACAGCTGGGCCTCAGCGGAGGCCCTGCGTCCAGAGGAGGAGGACGGCATGCGCCTGATGTTGCCAAAAGGCGCGCGCGTCCGCTGCCTCTGTTTTTTCTAGTGAGCCCGAACAGTGCTTGTGCTCGCCGCGTCGCGTCGCCCCGGGCGCTCACTGTTTGGTTTTCTGCCAGGCACCTTCTCACTTAAACGTGAGAGTTTAAGCATGCGTAAAACGTATGGTTTCAGGGAGTAAGTGCCTGGTGAGGGGGGAAGGGTCTCTCCTGCTCTCTGTCCCTTTCCCCCTCCGCGGCCCCTTTGGGGCTCAAGTTCTTTCTCGGGCCCTTCCCTCCCAGGCCCTCCCTGGCCCTTCGTAGGTTTCTTTTTCCTATTTTCGGCCTTGACCGCGTAGCGGTTCGGGCTGTGGGGCCGCCAGCTGGCGGCACAGCTGGGCCTCAGCGGAGGCCCTGCGTCCAGAGGAGGAGGACGGCATGCGCCTGATGTTGCCAAAAGGCGCGCGCGTCCGCTGCCTCTGTCTTTTCTAGTGAGCCCGAACAGTGCTTGTGCTCGCCGCGTCGCTTCGCCCCGGGCGCTCACTGTTTGGTTTTCTGCCAGGCACCTTCTCACTTAAACGGGGGGGGGCCACAAGAGCAGGACAAATCAACGAATCGACACCAGATGTGTATTAACTTGACACCGGATGTGTATTCACTTGACACGTTCTGATAAGGGGGCCTCTCAGAGCTCCGAGTTGCGGGTGCCTCCTGGTGCCTCCTGGGGCCTCCTGGGGACCTCCTGGGGCTTCCTCCTGGGCCTCCTGTGGCCTCCTGAACTCCACCTGGGGTTTCCTGAAGCCTCTTGGGGCTCCCAGGGGGGATATCAAACCTGTGGCCGTTTGGGCCTCTCCAAATGGAGGGGGGGCACAAGAGCAGGAAAATCAACGAATCGGCACCGGATGTGTATTAACTTGACACGTTCTGATAGGCGGCCTCCTGGGAGCCTCCTGGGAATCTCCTGGGGACCCCTGGGGCCTGTCCTGGGCGTCCTGCGGCCTCCTGGACCTCTCTGGGGCCTCCCCCTCCTCCTGCCTGCTCCCTCATGCACATCATCCGCCTCCTCCTTCTCCCTTCCATCTCCTCCTCCTCCTCCTCCTCCTCCTCCACCTCCTCTTCATCCCGAACGGCATCTCGGAGCCTAGAGTTGCGAGGATGTCTCCAGCGTAACGGGCTGGACCACCTCGCGCGCGGCATCTCGGACCCCAGAGTTGCGACGATGTCTCGGGCGAAACGTGGTGCGAGGAAGTCTCAGGCGAAACGGGCCGGACCACTCTCGAGCGCGGCGTCTCAGCGCTCAGAGTTGCGGGGGCCTCCTGGTGCCTCCTGGGGACCTTCTGGAGCTTCCTCCTGGGCCTCCTGTGGCCTCGTGAACTCCACCTGGGGTTTCCTTGAGGCCTCTTGGGGCGCCCAGGGGGGATATCTAACCTGTGGCCGTTTGGGCCTCTCCAAATGGAGGGGGGGGCACAAGAGCAGGACAAATCAACGAATCGGCACCGGATGTGTATTAACTTGACACGTTCTGATAGGCGGCCTCCTGGGGCCTCCTGGGAGCCTCCTGGGAATCTCCTGGGGACCCCTGGGGCCTGTCCTGGGCGTCCTGCGGCCTCCTGGTGCCTCCTGGTGCCTCCTGGGGACCCGGAGCTTCCTCCTGGGCCTCCTGTGGCCTCCTGAACTCCACCTGAGGTTTCCTGAAGCCTCTTGGGACTCCCAGGGGGGATATCTAACCTGTGGCCGCTTGGACCCCTCAGAATGGAGGGGGGGGGGCACAAGAGCAGGAAAAATCAACACATCGACACCCGATGCATATTAAATTGACACGTTCTGATATGGGGGCCTCCTGGGGCCTCCTGGGAGCCTCCTGGGAATCTCCTGGGGACCCCTGGGGCCTGTCCTGGGCGTTCTGCGGCCTCCTGGACCTCTCTGGGGCCTCCTGAGGCTCGCAGGGTCCCATGGAGGATATGTAACATGTGGTCTGCTGGGCCCCCAGGCCCACCTCTTGCGCAGCATCTGAGAGCTCAGAGTTGCGAGAATGTCTTGTGCGAAACAGGGCGGACCACCTTGCGCACGGCATCACAAAGCTCAGAGATGCAAAGATGTCTCAGGCAAGACGGGCCGGACCACCTCGCGCAGGGCATCTCAGAGCTCAGAAGTTCGAAGATGTCTCAGGCGAAACGGGCCGGACCACCTCTCGCGCGGCATCTCCGAAGTCAGAGTTTCGAGGATGTCTCAGGCGAAATGGGCCGGACCACCTCGCGCAAGGCATCGCAGAGCTCAGAGTTTCGAGGATGTCTTAGGCGAAACGGCCCGGACCACCTCTCGCACGGCACCTCGGGGCTCAGAGTTTCGAGGATGTCTCAAGCGAAACGGCCCGCACCACCTCTCGCGCGGCGTCCCGGAGCGAACTTTTGGAGCGAACTTTTTGAGGATGTCTCAGGCGAAACGGCCAATCCCGGCCAACTCAGAAACGAGAATTGTGAGGATGTCTCAAGCGAAACGGCCCAAACCATAAAATTTGTGTGAGGATGTCTCTGCTCAGCGTTCCCTCGGCCGGAGTTAGTTTCTATCACAACAGCACCCCGTTCAGCAAGCTGTTTGGGGAACAATTTCGCCCACGGGAGCTCCAGAATTTGTCGAGAACTCACACCAATCAACGTCGCGGGAGGCCAAATAGGGACCGGGACACAAACGGGCCAGGACACATCGGGGGTTTCTGAAATCCGGTAATTCTGAAGGATGTGTTGGGCCTGGCGGCCGTTCTAGAGCGGTCCGGAACGCAACGAGAGCGTTCTGAGAAGGTCTGCAACGATCTATCCTGCCCTGCCCGATCTCCGCCTCAGGGCAAGAGTGATGTGATTATGCGATTGGATCAGCATGCCTTCCAGGAACCAGGGTGCATCTAGCGGCCCTGATTTCTGGAGCCCGTGCGGGAAAAATCTGGGAAATCCTGGAGCGCATCACTATCATGGCTTCTTGCCCCGCCCAGCGAGAAGAATAGGACGACGACGACTACTGCTACAACAGCAACAACAACAACTACTACTACAACAACTACAACAACAACAACAACTACTACTACTACCACTACTACTACTACTACTACTACTACTACTACTACTACTACTACTACTACGACTACGACTACGACTACGACTACTACTACGACTACGACTACGACTACTACTACTACTACTACTACTACTACTACTACCTACTACTATACTACTAGTACTACTACTACTAACTACTACTTACTACTACTACTACTACTACTTACTACTAACTACTTACTACTATACTACTACTACTACTACTAACTACTACTACGTCTACAACTACTACTACTACTACTACTACTACTACTACTACTAACTACTACTACGCTCTACTAGACTACTATGCTGCTGCTGCTGCTGCTACTACTACGTCTATACTACTACTACTACTACTACTACTACTACTACTACTACTACTACTACTACTACTACTACTACTACTAACTGACTACTACTACTACTACTACGACTACGACTACCACTAACTACTGCTACTAATACGACTACTACTACTACTACTACTACTACTACTACTACTACTACTACTACTACTACTACTACTACTACTACTACTACTACTACTACTACTACTACTACTACTACTACTTACTACTTACTACTACTACTACTACTACTACTACTACTACTACTACTACTACTACTACTACTACTACTACTACTACTACTACTACTACTACTACTACTACTACTACTACTACTACTACGACTACAACTACGACTACTCCTCCTCCTCCTCCTCCCCCTCCCCACGAGGCATCTAAGACGCCCAAGATGGCCTCCAAGACGGCCCTAGAGCGCCTCAAGAGGACCCAACATCGGTTCAGAGAGGCCCCCGAGACGGCTTCCGACAGCATCAGACCCGTCAGACGGGCCAGAAACACTTTAAAACGGCCAAGGAGAGGCCCCCAAGACGCCCCCAAGACCCGCCCCCGAGAGGCTTCCAAGAGGCCCCCGGGAAGCCCCCAGGAGGCCCCACAAGAGTACCCCAAGAGGCTCCCAAGAGGCCTCCTCCTCCTCCGCCTCCTCCTCCTCCTTTTTCCTCCCCCTCCTCGCTCTCCTAATCCTCCCCTCAGCCTCCCCCAAATATTCCCCGAAAAGTTTCTGGAGCGGCTGGGGGAATACATAATCATATAGCTTGGCCAAGCTGGGGCCCAACGTTTGGCCACATAGGCGCTTCTCAAAAAGGCGGGGGGCGGCGGTGATTCGCCGTAGGCGTCTTGGATCCGCCACCCCCTGTGCTTGCCACAGGGGTGGACGGCGTGCCAGACATTTTGCTGCTCTTGTTATTTTCAAAATCTTCCCAGTGGCCTTCGGCCCAGACCGCCTGCTCCTCGGAAGGACCAGAGGGTGTGGCCCACATCGCCACCAAGACGGCCCAAATGGCCCAAGATGGCCACCAAGATGCCCCCAAGGCGGCTAGGATTGCCCCAAGAGAGCCCAAGACGGCCCCAATATGTCTCCAAGACGGCCCAAGATGCACCCGAGGCGTTCCAAGATGTCCCCAAGATGGCCCAGGACGGCCCCAAAGGCCCCCAAGAGGCTTTTAATGCAGTCCAAGAAGCCTCCAAGGGGACCTGCAGGAAGGCCCGAAGAGGCAAAGACAGCTGATTTCCCGTGGGCTCTTGACGGATTTTGACGTTTTCGGCCTGCCGACGGCCCAATGCCGCCGAAGAGACCCCCAAGATGGTCCCAAGAGCACCCAAGAGGCCTCCAAGACGGCCCCATGACGGCCTCCAGACGGTCCAAGAGGCCCCCAAGGCGCCTCCAAGACGGCCCACGAGAACTCCAAGGCGCCCACTCGTCATCGTGGTCGTCGTCGTCGTCGTCGTCGTCGTCGTCGTCGTCGTCGTCGTCGTCGTCGTCATCGTGGTCGTCAAACCTCTTCCAGTTTCCTAATCAAACTCCACTCCCTCTCCCTCCCCCCTCCATCACCCCCCCCCACCCCCCCTCAACCCCCCCCTCCACCACCACCCTCCGCCCCCCCTCCACCCTCCCCTCCACTCCCCCTCCAACCCCCCCTCCACCTCCCACTCCACCTCCCCCTCCACCTCCCCCTCCACCTCCCCCTCCACCTCCCCCTCCACCCCTCGGATGTCCCTTGGAACCTTTTTGGGAGGAGCACCCAGGGTGCTCCAGAGAGCCCCAAGAGGGCTCCAAGACGCGCCCCAGAGACCACTGAGAGGTCTCATCCAGACGCGCTGTTCGCTGACACCTACTAGCGGTTTCTGAGGCCTCTCTTGGGCCCCTCTTGGGCCCGTCTCGGGGCCGTCTTAGCGCCCTCTTTGTGACAGGGGTCCAGAATTTCACGAATAGGTTCAGCTAGTGGATTTGATGTTACGTAACCAATGTGGCTCAAGGGATAAACATCTGTTTCTCCTCCGACTGCCACAGTTGGTAGCGGAGCGCGGTCCCGGCGGGCGGCCAGAGGCGCGAGGGAGAGCGGGCCCGAGGCGGTCGGCTGCTCCAGCGCTCGCGTGCCTCCCGCCCCGGCCGCGCTCGCACCGACGAGCAGCGTGGTCCACGGCAGGTGCAATGCCCGATGACAGGAAGGATGAATGTGAGTATGCAGCCGGCAGCGGGCCACCAGCAGCTCAAGGCAGCGCAGGAGGCTAGTGGCAGGAGGCTAGTGGCAGCGGTGGTCCGGGAGCCCAGGCAGCAGGCGAGGGGGCCTTGAGGCACCCACCGCCCAAGGCGGCGCCAGGCGGCCGCCTCCCTCCCATCTGGGAGGAGCAGCGGCCTGCGGTGGCGAAGGCACCGCCAAGCACGGCCCGGGAGGGCCCGCGGCCCGAGGGGCCACCCGTCGAAGGGGCGCAGGGCAGGCTGGTGGGAGCTGGAGGAGACCCACTGGTCAGCAGGAGCCGACACGCGGGAGGATCTGAGGATGAGAGCTGGGGCCAATGGACGCCCACAGGGCGACGTGAGGTTGCCGAAGGAGTGGGAGATGGCGCCGGCGGTGCGGACCAGGCCCCACCCCCCCCCAGAGGCGAGGGATGCCTTGCGCCCGTGCCGGCTCCCAGGTTGCCCCTACTTGGAGCACTCCCAACCTGCGACCGCAGTCGATGGCGTAGCACTGTGGCGACCAGGGTTCTGCTGCAACAAGTGCGCGGGGCGGTCGGAGGGAGCGGACTGGGCAGAAGGAGGCGCGAAGCACTTCAGGCACTGCGAGAAGATGCCCCACGGCCAGCCACCCCTCGAGGGGGGAGGGTCGCCGGCGACCGCGGCGGCGAGCAAGAAGCGCAAGCAAGAGCGCAAGCAAGAGGTCGCAGAGGCTGCCGCTCGGGTGCTAGCCGCCGCCGCGCTGGCCGCCCCCCCTCCGGGTCCCGAGCCGGGAGCCGCGGAGGAGCAGGGTGAGGAGAGCAGCAGTGGGGGCCAGAGCGAGGAGTGCCCCCCCCGTCACCAGGGGAGCTCGCCCAGCGGGCGCGCGCGGAGCGAGCGGCCACCCGGCAGAGGAAGGCGGAGGCCAGGCACCCAGGTGAGGGACAGGCGGGGCACGTCCGCCTTAGGGCGAGGACCCCACCTGCACCAGCGGAAGTCAAGCAGGAGGATGGTTCGGAGGAGGAGCCCCCGACGGAGGTCGCGCGGGCGGTCGCTCAGACTTACCGCGCCCTCGTTCGGCGGGTGGAGTTCCAGAGGACAGGGCTCTGGTCCGCCCCCGAGGAGGAGGGCCGCCCCGAGAAAGGGGCCGCCAGGGTGGGGACGCCAGTTGCCCACCCTCGGCCTGGCCGAGAGCCACTCCCGCAGCCAGAGGGGCGGGCCGACCGCGAGCCGCTGCCCCAGCCAGGAAGTTGGGCACCCCCTTCGGGGGGGTCGAGCGGGTCCGGCGGGCCGGCGAGGCTGCCCCAGCCCCCTGGTCACTGGGCGGAGGAGGACCCGCTCAGGCCAGGCGGGCCCGCGCGAGCTGCTGAGGACGTGAGGGACCTCAACTCGCCCGAATCCTACTCGGAGGAGGACTCTGAGGGGGCAGAGGAGGAAGTTGACGAACTTCGGCCAGTGCCTTTCCCAGGTGGCGGCCCGGACGCCCGCTACGCGTGGTGTGAGTACTGCGGCGTGCAGGGCGAGGGCCAGGACATGGGCTGCCCGATGCGCAACCGGACCTACCCCATTTCGATGGCGAAAAACCGGTCGCGGGCAGCACAGAGGGCAGCCAAGGCAGGGAGCACGGCTGCGGCCGCGGCCCAGGCGGGTCGGACGCGGGCGCGTGCGCGGCCCCCCGACCGAAGCCCAGAGGAGCGCCGAGAGGAGGAGGAGGAGAGGGCGCCTCTACGGGCGGTGGCGCGGACCGCCCGCGGCACCCCGGAGGGCCAACCGGACGGGCGTCCTCGCACGCCGCGCCGCGTGGCCCACCGGCACGGGGGAGGAGAGGAACGCGAGCGTGAGGAGGTAGCGATGCGTGAGGCACAGGAGGCTAGGCCGCCCGAGGACATCAACCCGGAGGCGGTGAGCTGGTACCTGGCGGCGGCAGCGGGCAGCAGCCAGGGCAGTGAAGGGCTAGAGCGGCAGCTCAGGCGGATCGCCAGGGAGGGCTCCAGGCGTGCCGGCGGGCGTGCCGATGCTGGTTATGCACCAGAGCTCCAGAGGTTGGTAGACGCAGCCGTGGTGGCTTCGGTGGCAAAGGGGACGAAGGCGACCTATGGCGTCGCTTGGAGGCAGTGGACGACGTTCTGCCGGATCCGCAGGAGGTCGCCCATCCTGCATGGCGAGACTCGCGAAGAGCGTCACCAAGACGAGGAGGAGCTGCTGCTGTTCATGGTGCACCTGTACAACAGCCTGAAACGGTCGCACGGTACGATACGGTCAAAGTTGCTGGGGATCCGTTCACACCACGTGATGCTGGGTGAGCCCGACCCCTTGGCGGGTAAGCCGCGGCTGTGGATGGCCTTGAATGGGATCGAGAACTGGCAAGGGCCCGGAAAGAGGAAGCTCCCAATTACGATCAAGATACTGAGAAGGATCCGAGACATG